CCATATATATATTCTGTTTTTCGCAAAATTGCAAGCAAAGCTGAATTTTCATTTTTTTTTCTATTTAAGTAAAGCTGATATTTTTGACAATAAGATAGGACTGTCCTTCACGCGTTGAAGACTTCATCATGACTCACATGTACGTTTTAAAAAACCATTTTTTTTTTTTTTTTTGGTCATTTACAAACGTTTTCTATGTATTTATGTATACATAACACTTAAATTTTACTGTTTACATTCATTCCACCAAAATCTTTTTTGACATTAAAATTGATGCTAGCTAGAAAATTTACGACAGTAGAGTAATAGATTACCGTCTTAGCGTTGCACGAGAATTTAACACGCTCTCAAGTAAAAAGGACAATCAATAAGGACATCAGAAGTTTTTACATGAAAAACTGATTAAAAAAAAAAGCCAAATGACCATACACAAATGAACAAATCCACTATATGTTGATAATAACAAAGACCTCTTATTTCACAAAAGGGAGATAGTTACTAGGTTTTCTAAGTTATAAAATCGACTGACGGTTTTTGATCAGTTGTGTGTCAACGGTGATTGGTAGTGATCGACAGTGGTCAGCGATTGACGACGGTCGGTGGTGGTTGACAACGACAATTGTGCTCGATAGTAGTTGGTGGTGGTTGACAGCAGTAGTGATCGACGGTAGTCGATAGCGATTGCAAGTGATCGATGGCGGTCGACAGTTGTTGTCGATGATTTGCGGTGGTTAACGACGATCGACGGTGATCAGCAGCGGTCAAGGTAGTTGACGGCATCCGACGGTAATATTTGGTGATAGGATCGATGGACTTTAGTTCCTTCTCAAAGCTTTGAGTTCACTCTTAAGCCTTTAGCCCCCTCTAATTAGAGAGGTGAGACTCTATATATAGTGTTCTGCATTAAATTAATGCAGTAATATGAACAACTTTGATCGGACGGTCCGGAGAGCTTCCTTCAATTAGACGACGTTAGATGAACATTTGAGTGTCTTAACAATGTTTAAATTGAAAAATCTTGTGCTCGTTGGACTGAGGTCTTGTCGAGACGCTCAATTCAACTATAGCTTTGCTAGATTCGACATTTCTTTAACTATTTAAATATGTCTGAAAAACTTTCAAGAATGGTTTGATGACTTAATCTGAGTTTGATTTGGCTCATATTAAACTAATTTTGATAACATTGGACTCTTCCTGATGGATCGTTAAGTTTGATTGTAAGTTTTCTGAAATCTGAGTTCTAGATTAGTTTTAATCGAGGTTTGAATTTTTCTTACTAAAAAAATCGTCTCGAGATCTGTCATGCCTCAAGATTCGTGTTGAAAGATGGAGATTTATCAAAATTTATCAATATTTTAACTTTGATAAGGAAAAATACACACACGCACAGATATATATAGATAGATATATATTTGAAGGAATAATCGGAAGTTATTATACGAGCTCCGACTATCACTCATGTGCCTAAGAATTTGAGTACCACACCCTACACACGGGGAGAATCGAACCCCAGACCAGAGAGGACTTACAACTGACAAGCAGATGCCCGATCAACTGATCTGAGTACACGTATATATATATATAAACACATAAATAAAGTGGCTTGTACTAAAAATTGAAGCTTAGAAATTAGATATATACATATGAATTGAGTGGTAGGTAGGTAAATATTCCTTTCTTTTTTTTTTTTTTGAAGTCTAGTGAATACTCCCAAGACCTTAATCAACTGGTCAATAATGAAATCATAAGGACCTAAAACAACAACAACAAACAAGTCTTTATCCCACTAAGTGCGGTCGACTATATAAATTATTTTTCTCTATTATGTCATATTGAGTGTGATATTATCATTTAATTCGAATAAATTAAGATCCTTTTTTATACAACACGCCCGTGTCTCTTCAAGTCCGCCTTTACCTTTCCTAACATAAGTCGAATCTAAAGCATCTACTTTTCTAATCGGATTATCAACCGATCCACATTTAATGTAATCAAACCATTTAAGACGACTCTCATGAGTTTTAATAAAGAATATATGGAAGAATCAACAACATCAATTAATTTATATTCAATAATGCTCTTAAGATGGATGATTAATAATGTTGACACTGTCTTGAATGAAAATGAAGACAATTATATCAATGGAAGTGGCTTGGTGAACATATTGGCTAGTCTATAAATTTAATTGGATGGGCATGAGCCTGATGAAGCTGTTATAAACATCATCTCCCAACAACATTACAATCTTTCTCCATATGCCTGGTGCACTCATGAAGCCTAGATTGACTGTGATAGGAATTGCTGCTAGATTACCACAAAACAGGAGCCCGAGAGAGGATATTTGGATGTGGGAGACTTGTAGATGATCAAGACCAATCAATTCACTGGTAGATACAGCTAGAGCAAGATATTTTGCTTGAGCGGATGATATAGAGACGACAACTCGCTTCTTCACTTTCAAGAGATCATATGCTCCCCTTCAAATATGTCAAATCCTCTAACAAACTTGTATTCCTATAGGCTTCCTAAGACAGTTTTTAGTTTCCAAGTAAAACAAAAAAGGAGAAAAATATGCCTTATCATAACGCGGATTTGAGGTACACATAAAAGTAATTTCTAAAAGGTGCCTATTGTGATGCATGTGGGAGAAGAACCCCATGAGATGTGTTTAGCTTATTACGTGGATCCATACATGCTAGCAACCATGTAGTTTCCAATAGTCATAATGTATAGTGGCGCTACGAAAGCGTGATTCCTGAGCTAGATCAGGCTACTTCGAAAGTTAGAATGGGGTTAAGAAAGTAACTTTCAAAGAATTAACAATAGATATTGAGGATCTGATAATAATAATAATATACATAGGCCAACAAGGCTACAAAATATAATCGGAAGCCTTTTGTAAATAGATAACAATCAAACTTCAATTAACTAAAACCAAAATAAATAAGCATGCTCAAAATTTTTAATACCATTACTAAGAGGCTTTACTTAAGACTATGGATTGATTAATGGGAACAAGCACACCACTTTTTCATTTATCTTTGATGTCAGTCCACCGCTGGAACCTGCAAGGTAACTTCATATATGCCTCTTTGAATAAATCTCCATTTTAGCTTATTAAATAAAGAGCAAGTGTCCAATAAGTCAATTCCCTCTTGTTGGGCGTATCCTTAGGTGGACGTTACACTTGTTGATGGAAACATTTAAATGGGTCATTTGATTTTAAAATCCATATATAATCTACGGCATGCTTCCCTCGTGCCACGAAATCACATTATTCCAGAAAGTTCATGTTGAGAAGAGAAGTATATAATCACCCCATTCCGGAAAGTTCATGTTGGAGAGAGATGTATAAAGTATATTTCCAATAAGAACTTGATAAGGAATCACTAGTCGTGTAATTGGATGTAAAATAATGATGTTTGAGTGCACATGCTAGTGTTATAGGTGAGTATTTTGATTCATGCCAAGTGATATTATAAATAGGAATTAGTATGTTAGATGAATTGTTGCTGAACTTGATTGGTGAGAGATGATGTCTAAATTTAAACTAACAGAATAGGAAGCACAAGGTTGGAAAAAGG